GATGAGGTCTCGCTGCCCAGGCGGGTCTCGAACCCGCGGGCTCAGGCAATCCACTCACCTCAGCCTCCCAAAGGCGCGGGATTACAGACTGAGCCACCAAGCCCAGCCACCCGGCTAATTTTTAATTTATTGTAGAGACAAGGTCTCGCCAAGTTCCCTGGGCTGGTCTTGAACCCGCGGGCTCAGGCTTTCCTCTCGCCTTGGCCTCCCAAAGTGCTGGGATTTTAGGCTTGAAACACCTCGCCTGGCCAGATAAGTTCTCATTAAGATGACTGCTCCAAAACCACGTTCCCTCATTCTCTGGGAACCCATCTTCTCCCTCCACACAGATTAATCAAGAACTACCTACCTACCACTACTGCAAGTGGATTCTGCTTCAAGTTCTTGACTGCATTCTCACACACACACACACACACACACACACGAGATCTATACTTTAATTTATTTTACAGGACTTACTATTTGGCGTTTTCCCAGTTAGAGGTTATCTTTAGACTACATAGTCTTACCTTATTCTCACTCCTTACAGTTTTCCCTAGTATTCCATGACATACCAGTTTATTCAGGCATCCTATCACTCAGCTGTATTTATAGAGTATTTGTGGTGTGCCCAGTTCAGGGAACTCAGTGGAATCTAAAAACGGATTAACGCCCTGCCTTTCAAATGCTTTCAAACAAATGGGGAAGGGGCGAGGAGCTGTCAATAGTAGTGACATTAAATGTGAAATCATAACTACGAAGGGAGGTTATTGATGCTTTGAACCTGAATAATAGGGAGACTTACTTAGTCAGGAGACCGAGGCCATGGCATAATTAGGGTAAGTGCAGGGGTTGCGGGTGCTGGTAATCCTAAACGGCAACCAACAATAAGAGGGAGTGGCGAACATTTTTTTTCTTTTTGAGTTGACATCTCATTCTCGCCCAAGCTGGAGTGCAGTGGCCCGATCACAGCTACCGCAGCATCGACCTGATGGGCTCAGGTGATCCTTCCGTTTTGGCCTCCGGAGCAGTAGCTGGGACTTCAGGCGTGAGCCACGATGCCCAGCTTGCCTTTTTTTTTTTTTGAGTTGGAGTCTCACTCTGGCACCCAGACTGGAGTGCAGTGGCCGCTCCCGGCCACCGCAGCCTCGACCTCCTGGGCTCCGGCGATCCTTCCGCCTCAGCCTTCCAAGTAGCTGGAACTACAGGCGCGCGCTACCACGCCCAGCTAATTTTTGATTTATTGTAGAGATGAGGTCTCGCCAAGTTGCCCAGGCGGGTCTCGAACCCGCGGGCTCAGGCAGTCCACTCACCTCAGCCTCCCAAAGGCGCGGGATTACAGTATGAGCCACCGAGCCCGGCTTTTTTTTTTTTTTTTTTTTTAACAAGGTGTATTTTGTGATCAGGAAAACAATAAAATCGTAGCATTTTTTAAGGCGAGGAGGCTTTCCACTTTCTGAACCTTTGGAGAAAGTACAAGGAAAAGCAAAATTTCCTTGTTGATCTGTCTTAAAAACGCAATAGCCGATGAACCGTCTTGGGGCCCCCTCGTCTTGACAAAGAGGTAGGGATCTTCAGTATGACCTGGCACAGGAGTCGAAGCGCCCGGGCCGGCT